GTTAAAATGCGTTTTAAACAAAGTTAAGTGGTTATCATTACCCATTTTACTCTTAGTAATTTAATAAATTTAATAATTTAAAAGTTTTGTTCAGAAGTATCGTATCGGTATCGATAGCAACGATACTGCCTTGAAAAATATCGGTCTCGTATCGAAAACAAAATAAGTGGTATCGCCCATCCCTAATGGACATTAGCGAGCCGAGCGGCGGATAAAAAACACAGAAGAGGAAAATGTCTGCGGAACAAAAGAAGGCTTAAGGCAATAAGGCAAGAAGTAGGACCCGTGTAAATATCGGATCAGCTTTCCAGCGCTGGAGAGAACTCAAGGAGTGGAAGGCCTGCGATCGGACGCCGAGGTTGCTTTGTTTCTTCTCGATAGGTGAGTAACACCGTGTCTGCGCTGCAACAGCTAAAGTCTGCCTAGTACACTGGACGCGACAAAGCGACCGTTGAAAATCATTTGAAATTTGTGTCAATACGTCCTGAATAGAACGCAGCAGCAGTTTTCTGTCGGGGATTTGTCGTGCCTCGCCGCATCCAGTGTAGACTATAGATATGTACATATATCTATGGTGTAGACCGCATCACTGATAATAATGAGTTCCATAGTATTTGTCGCGTCGGGCCGCGCCACTCGCGTCCGGTGTAGACAATGTGTAACATTGGTTTTGCTTTGTGGGTAGGGGCGTGTTTGTTTTGGTGATTTCAAATGTCAACATTGGCTACCAGAAATGCTTACCCTACCTTTAAGTGTTAATGTAGTACTATTACTTCCTGAATAGTTGCTTGTTAACAATGGACCATTATTCTAAAGTGTTACCGACTGTCTCGCTATGGTGAATAATAAACTCTCTCACAAAGAAGATGAAGGCAAAACGTATTTTTAATAAATCCACACAGGGTAATTCACAACACATACAGGCAGGATAAACACGTAGGGACGAAGTAAACCGGACAGCGGAACACAGGACAGACTACAACTTAAATACTAAAGCAAATGAGGATGATAAACAAGACACACCCGAACCAAATTACACAATCAATGGGAGACAGAAACTAGGTCACAGAACACATGTGGAATGAAAACAACAAAACAGTCCAAAGGTGTGACACCGACTATAGGTATACACTTTATTGTTACTATGTAAAAATAGGTTTTAATGTAGCTAATTGAACACAGATATTTCACTTTCATTTGGAAGTAACTGTAGAATTAAATTAGCTAAAAGAATAATGTTGGCAATTTTATCCTAGACAAAAATGTATGTAGTTGACATGGCATTATTTTATAGGCATGGCAAAATTAAATGTAGTTAGCCTGACAAATTTTTCTTTATTAGCCATGGCAAAACTTTATCTGGTAGGAATGGGCAATATTTTTTTTTTTTTAGTTTTGACTAAATCAATGTAATTTCATGCAACAAGATTACAACAAATAATTTCAAAAAAGTTAGATTTTGTTGGGAAAATATAATTCAATTTCATGGGGAAAAAAATCCTTAATTTAAGTTTGTTCAACAACTTTTTTTTTTTGAGTGTACATTCAGAAAGTGAGAAGATTTTTAGCAATTAAACCTTTTTCACTCTGTTCTGTTTTGTACTTCATTCAATACATTGTTGTGACTCTGCTTAAATACCCTTTAGGTGTTTTACATTGTTAATAACTAGAGTGTGGGTCAGGGGCTGTAACAAGTATCCACTGGAGGAGAGTTGAGTTGAATCAAAGTGCACTTGACTTGAACATGAAACACATGAAACTCATCAACAGCAGTTACAGGGAACAAACACAACAAGGAAACATGAGTGCTTAAATGCATAGTCATGGAGATCACATGGCAATCTTTTGCATTCATTGCTCATAGGTGTATTTTCTACAGAAATAAGTCTGCCCTTGGTAAATGAATAAACATGATGAGAAGGAAATCTCTATCAGACAGGACTCATTTATATTTTCAGGTTTTGGGACAAAGTACACTGGAGAGTGAATGTCATTTTCATACAAACGTTTCATTATATCCACATTCAAGATCAGCCTTAATTCCCCAAACATTCCTTAAAATGTCACAATATTGTTTGAACATGATTTACAAGAAAATGAAAGCAAACATGCAGCAACATGTGCCTTCTAGAAGTTGATATTCCTGTTTCACAAGCTTAAAAAAAAAAAATGCAACACAGATCAGACATTGTCATCACAGGGGCCTGATGACAATGTCTGATCTGTGTTTGTGTTGCATTTTTTATTTATTTTTTTAATCCTGAATGTGAATATAATGAAACGTTTGTATGAAAATGACACCACCACTCTACAAAACACTTGCTTATTACAGAAACGATGTAACATGGTCGATGGAAGGAGAAGAGTGAGGATCCAAATGCAGCTAAACATTTAAAGAAAAAAAATAAAGAAAAAAGTACATCCAGGCAGGGGTGGGGCAGGACAAGACAAGGCAAGACAATGGGCACACAAAACAGCCAAAAAGGACAACACCAGACAAAGAACTAAGGCCAAACACAAGGGTATATATACATGGGAAAACTAGGTAACAAGGGGGTTGAAGCAAATCAATAACTATGACAACTAACAAGCAGACAAAAGGGAAACATGAACTAAAACACAGGAAGTAAATACAGACACAATAGGGAACAGAAAATAAACTTATGTTGAAGTCTTGTCTTTAAAAAAATACTTTTGTTTTTGATGCTGACAAATGAAATTCCAATTTTCCTGTCCATCTTTCCACTTCAACTACTGCTGTCTGCATGTATGACATTTCATCATTTCTTCCATGAAGTTTCATAATCTGCATACAGTGACCTTTCTGTTCAATATGTGAAATGATGTCATTAATCATTATATTGACAAGTATAGGTCTGCACACACTCCCTTGAGGTATTCCATAACACATATATCTTATAAAAAAAAGGGACAAAATAACATTTAATGATGCGTTATTTAATTACAAATCTTATCTCTTTCTGGTGATCAGGGCCGTGCACAGGGAGGTGGCACGGTGGCTAGAGCCACTGCCCCTTTGCCCTCATCGGCTGAGGTGCCCCTCTCACCAATCCCCTCTTCACCCCAGCTCAAAGCTGTCTGTTCCCGCTCCGCTAAAGATCCGCTGATTCCGCTAATCCACTCCGTGTTTCCCGCCCCCGCCGCAGCATCACTCACAATCTGTGTGCCGCTCTCTGGAGAGTGGAGACCACAGTCCCCGAAGGTCGTTGCATTACCAGGTAGATGCATTACAATCCACATTAGTCAGTGGTTGATCCACTGAATTAGTAATTAGTTGGTAGTTTGTTTGTTTTTATTTTTGTCGGTAATGACTTGGCCTTCTAAAAGCGCTAACAACTTGTACAAAGTATCCATGTTCTTAGAATTAGAATGTCTAATCAAATGTCACTTGTCTTGATACTAGTAATCTATAACACATCATATTTTATTAAAACCAAATTAATAGTAGGCCTATAAATAGTTAAAAAAATAGTATACATTTTCTAAATTAGTTGTTTATTAGAATATAATATAGATTTATGCTGTAAAATATTAAATTAAATGTCTAATACTTATAGTGGAGAGTGGGGTAAGGTCAGCTTCGCCACTTTTTACTTATCC